GAGGAAAGGATAGTTGTTAGGGACCAACAACAGCCATCTAGTCCAACTGACTGACTGCTTCAAATGCCTATTAAACACTGCCAGGCTTGAGGCATTAACCACCTCTCTAGAAAGCCCGTTCCAGTGTTTGACCGCTGTCTTGATAAAAAAAAAAGTTTCCTAGTTTCAAGTATGAAGCTCCCCTGACAGATGCAGCTTTGAGCCATCCCCACATGTCCTGTCACAAGATCCCAGGGAGAAGAGATCCTCCGCTCCAATTCCTCTCCTCAGGAAGCTGTAGAGAGCAATGAGGTTGCCCCTCAGCCTCTTTTTCTCCAAACTAGACAAACCCAGAGTCCACAGCTGCTCCTCACAAGACATGCCTTTTCAGCCCTTTTGCCAGTTTTGTTGCCCTCCTCTGGATGCACTCAAGTACCTTAATATCCTTAAACAGAACAGAACTGCACACAGTTTGAGTCAGTGTTTACTTGTTCATAACTAATACGTAACCTAGAAAAGACTGGGATTTCCAAGCTTTTGCTTTTTTTTCATTCTATTTCATGTAGAATGTAATTTCAGTCTTTTGAATGAAGTATTTTCTTTGGTTTGATTTTCTCCATTGCAGACCTCAGTAGTTTTTAACTCTAAATTTACTGTGCAATTTCTCTTTAAAAATAACCACAGACTCTTAAGATTCTTAAATAGTTCAAATATTTCCCAGAGTAGTCTTCTAAAATAATTTATGAAGGCTTTAGAAATTATGTTTTAAGTCTAAATATATTCCCAGCCTTCACCCAAAAGAGATATTAAAAACATACCAAGAATCTAAAACCAAATAGAACAGAAGGTCCAAATCAGCTTAGAAACTTAGAATTTATAAGAATCGTAGAATCATAGAATCATAGTATGTGTTGGGATGGAAGCCCAACCTCCCTGCAGTGAGCAGGGACATTGGTGCCAGATCAGGTTGCTCAGAGCGCCATCAAGCCTGACCTTGAATATGTCCAGGAATGAGGCCTCCACCACCTCCCTGGGCAACGTGTTCCAGTGATCTACCACCCTTATATTAAGGACTTTATCCTAATATCCAACCTAAGTCTACCCTATTCTAGTTTAAAACCATTACCCCTTGTCCTATTGCTACATGTCCTAGTGAACAGCTCTTCCCTAGATTTCTTATAGGCACTTTTCAGGTATTGGAAGGTCACTAAAGGTCCCCCTGGAGCCTTCCCTTCTTCAGGCTGAACAACCCCAACTCTCTCAGCCTATCTTTGTAAGAGAGGTGTTCCAGCCCTTTGATCATCTTTGTGGCCCTCCTCTGGACCTGTTCCAGCACTTCAATGTCATTTCACAAGAGCTTTAGCATTTATATTAGTATACAGTAAATAATAAAAAATATAAAAGGAGCAGTTATTATCTCTTCTGGAGAGATGTATTAGGACAGGAGATTTAGTGAGACATGTGCACCCAGACCAAACAGGCTTGGCTGGAAACAAAAATATTGGGAGAATTCTTGATTTGATACAAAATGTGCCATTACCCAATTACCTTGTTTTTCCTTGTTGGTTATTTTTATCCCTTTTACTGTGCAAAATGGAGATCTTTAAGTGTGGTGCATCAGAAAATGACTTTGATGGCATTTCCATTCTACTTGGACATCAGATTATATAGATCAAAAATGTTGCACAGAAAGTGGATTTCTCAAAAACCACCTGGATGAAAGAGGGACCCAGGCAAAAATAGCCTACTTTACCCCCCTTTCAGGCTGATCTTGAGATACACAAATAAAATGAAAATTACCTTTCCTGCACTTTTCATTTATCGCTTTATTAAAACCAATCAATTTCTCACAAGAACCTAACTACATAGTTCTGTTTAAATCTGAGCAATTATCACCAAATTAGGCTTTTTGTAAAAGAGACTACATCACTAGACATCCTAATTTCCTCATAAAAGTTCCTCTTTTCAAGCAATGTAGAATACATTTATTTATCTCAGTATAGCTTAGAGGAAGACAAAAAATTATTTCTAGTCATATTAAGTGTTATTTCAGAGAGCTGATTCTTCCCTTAGTGTTAGATTACATGTAAATTTTTAATTCCTAGAAGTCTGGACTGGTCTATTTCTGCATGTTAAATTCATACATACCATGGTGTGGGGTTTTTTTTTTGTTTTTGTTTTTTGTTTTTTGTTTTTTTTTTTAAAGCAAGTACATGTTAGAACTGTTTTTGTATTAATGCAAAGACTTTAAGCTTCTGTAAGGTCTTTTCCACACTAAGTTCTACCTCTTTTATAATACGGATATTCTTTGTATTTAGTGCATCCTCCTCCTCAAAGGTCCATATTTGATGCAACTGACACATCTCTCAAAGATTTTCCTGCAGTGTGATCTGCAAATAGAATTTGTCTCCAAATTACAGATTACTTGCAGGGCTTTCATAGTGTATCATACTCAACTTGTTCATTGAAAGAAGAAAGAGGTATCAGAGACAGAACTACACATCCTTTGAAGACTAAGCTAGACTTCCAGCTACCTATTTTGCAGGTAACTTCAGAGCTGGAATACAGAGTCTTTGATATTCTTAATAAAACTGTATTCAATTAGATCACAGGACTGTTAAATTTAAAATGAATAGTTTGAAAGCCAATGGAGAAAATACAGTATGTGGCCTAGAATATGTTGGGTTTTATTTATTTATAGTCTTGTTTATACGGATTCCTACAAAACTGAACTATGAAAGCACATCAACTTTCTCTTAATAAATTTTACTTCCTAGTATTATATAAAAACCTCAAAATTATGTATTTATTATAACAGACATAAACCAGATAAAATAAGAAAAATAATTTTATGGGTTTTTACAAACATTTTTCTGTTTTGGTCTTGGTAATGATGCTTCATTTTTGAAGGAAATGCTAAGCATTCACTTAAAGTATGTTTCATTTCAGTAATATTTCAGGAGTTGCAGTCATTCAACCACTGATTATCTGTGAGCTTACACTTTGACTTCTGTCACATCTGGTTGGAATAGGATGTACAGTTCAAAAAGTCTATAATGTGAGAGTTCAATTGGATAAAGAAATTGGACTAGAAATCACATCAGCTCAGTACAGTCCACGTTCTTCCTTACAGCCAGAGCAGCAACACAGTACAGCTATCACAGTGGTTCTAGATTTAATCTTGCCATTCTGGGACATGAGGAAGCACCGCAGAATGTGAGAGCACTCGTTACCTTTTTGAGAAGTGATTTCAGTATAAAATGAGAAAACTTCAATTCTTGTCACTCATGTCCTTCACCACAAGGAGAAATTTTGCCTTACTTTTATTTTAATGCCTTATTTGTAAATGTTTTTCCACCAAGACCACTGAGTCAACTACTCACTGTACTTCATATATACTCTTAAAAGAAAACAAAATGGAGAGAAGTTGCTAGTGACTTTGTTTTTATTTAGAAGCACATAAAAAAAGTTATGCCACAGCTTTGGTTGACTAGAATGATATGCATACTTAAATTTTAACAGTTTATGTTTAACAGTAAACAAGTGTACATTCAGTTGTGTGCAAGACCAACAATGTCAATGACACAATTATACTGCAGAAAATGAAATGTTTTAAGTCTATATAGCTGTGAAACCCTTCACAATTCTGGTATTTAACCAGCATTTTTAGAATTAGCCTGCTGAAGCCATTTCATGTGTAATAAACACTGAGAACAGCCTACCTAAATATATATATACTCAGAAGCTACATCTTCTGCATCTTTAATGTGAAAGGAATTATCTAACTTGTAGTTTATGAGGTCAGTTATTAATAATCAGCCACTTGAACTTACAGAAGTGGACAGTATTTTTGTACATTTGGGGTAATTGTAATAATTCAGTATTTTTTCATGCCACAGATAAAATCACAAGAACAGCTGAGACTGGATGATTACTCTACATAATCCAGTAACTGAAAGTTCCACTGATGTACTGATGCTTCTCTCTGCTCTTATTATTTTTTTTAATATTAGAAAGGGATAGGTATGAAAATTCCCAGGCCATGGTGAATCCTGATTATTTTGCAACAGTAAGCACTGAGTTCTGGTAGACCACAGTCTCTCTCTACTCTGAGGGAAGGATAATAAAGCATAGATGGAATATTTACAATTTTTAGGATAAACTTACCAGCAGACCAGCTGTAACCATTTCTTTTTTTATAAAACCTTTTTAATATCAACTTTTTGTAGAAACATATGGCAAAGTAAATAAAACTGTCTTTTGAGTAAACAAAGTAAGTTTTTGATAAAAGACAGTTTTATTCGCTGGATGGTACACAGGTACCTGTATACAAACATGTATTTTAAACACAAAAAGAGAAGGTGTATTTGAATGTTACAGGTCTGATGTAAATACAGAATAAAAACTCACTCCATCATGCCTAATTATTGCAGCATATATGATATAAAATAATTCAAATGCAGAAAACATCTGCTTATCATTCAAACCAGATAAGAGAGATTTATTTGGAAATGTAATTAAATTAAAAGCTTCTAGCAAAGATGTGCGTTATGTTTCCGCTCACAAAAGAAATTCACAGGAAGATTCTAAACTTCTGAAAATAGAAGATTATAATGACAACAGATAATGCCTTCAATACAGTGACACCATCAGAGTTGCTGTAACACATACCACTGCATTGGTATTTTATTTTTGTACAAGTTTACAGTTAACATTTAAAGACACTGAAAAGGTTCATGTGCAGCTTTTCCATTAAAAGTGTACAGTTCATCAAACTGATAAATAAATATATTACCTGAAATGTTCTAGAAAATGAGAAAAAACATTTGACCTAAATATGTAGCATGCACACTATTTAACCATGTATAAACTAAAGATTCTTAAGTGCACTATGAAATGCAGACATAAGTGGTGTTTGAAAGCTCAGTAATTTAGTTGAATGTACACTCAATCGTTTAAGAAGTTGCTTCCAGTTTCGTGTGATCAACTTTGTTTCTTCTCAAAGACTTTCCCTAACCTACTAGGTTCTACATCTAGAGAAGCCTCTTCTAGAGACAGCTTGACATTAGGTACACAATCAGAAGATCCAAAGGTAGCTGTAAAGATAAAGAAAAAAAAAAGTATTATGTTTTACACTCAAGAATATCTATGCTATAAGGCATCAAAAGCAAAAAAATGCAATTTACCTAGCACAGAAACACACACAAAGTTATACTGAATCAAATGAGATCAGAAATGCAATGGGATTTTGTTCTAGAGACCCTCAAAATGATACAACCATCCAAAAGCTGTGCAATGTGATTGGCACACTGGAAGGGATGCCACCCAGAGGACCTTGACAGGCTTGAGAGGTTGGGTGCACGTGATCTTCATGAAGTTCAACAATGCCAAGTGCAAGGTCCTGCACATGGGTTGGGGTAATCCCAAGCACAAATACAGGCTGGGCAGAAAATTGATTGAGAGCAGCACTGAGAAGGACTTGGGAGTGTTGGTTGATGAGAAGCTCAACATGAGCCAGCAATGTGCACTTGCAGCCCATAAAGTCAACAATATCCCAGGCTGCACCAAAAGAAGGCTGAGGGAGGTGATTCTGCCCCTCTACTCTGCTCTCGTGAGACCGCACCTGGAGTATGGTGTCCAGCTCTGGGGCCCCCAGTATAAGAAGGGCATGGACCTATTGGACTGAGTCCAAAGGAGGGCCATGAAGGTGATCAGGGGGTTGGAGCACCTGCCCTATGAGGCCAGGCTGAGAGAGTTGGTTTTTTTTATCCTGGTGAAGAGAAGGCTTCAGGGAGACCTTATAGCAGCCTTCCAGCAACTGAAAGAGGCCTACAAGAAAGCTGGAGAGGGACTTTTTGCAAGGCATGTTGCGATAGGACAAGGGGTAAAGGCTTTAAAATGAAAAAGGGTTAGATTTAGACTAGATATTAGACAGAAATTCTTCACTATGAGGGTAGTGAGACACTGGAACAGGTTGCAGAGAGAAGTTGTGGATGCCCTCTCCCTGGAAGTGTTCAAGGCCAGGTTGGATGGCTCTGAGCAGTCTAGTCTAGTGGTAAGTGTTCCTGCCCGTGGCAGAGGGATGATCTTTAAGGTCCCTTCCAACACAAACCATTCTATGATTATTAAAAGCAGACAGTGTAGCTGGCCAACAGTTCAGTCTGAATATACTAATGACTGAATGCATTATCATGTTATTTGTAGCTTTAGTCAGAATCTGGTCACAGAGCTCTGTGATAAACGTTTAGAAAACATCTTAGACATTCTGCCATTTAAGTAAATAAATTTCCTTTGCTTATCTTACTTGGAGATAGCTGGAAATACTGTCATACTTAAAAACCAAACCAAACCCATAAATTTTCAGGCCATAAAAATTCTTTCAAATACTTCAGAAGATAAAATAACTATTAGCACAGTTTTACTGCTAAAACTATTTGTGTAATGCTGTTGAGTTCTTGCTGACCCATAAGATGATCCCTAGACAGGGAATGTTAAGAAACAGCTTCCTTAAGAAATTATGTAATATATAAGAAAGAATCCTACTGCTGGAAATAAAGTAAGGAAATGACACATTCTGCTTCAAACAGAAATTACTTACATAAGGTTGGTTTCTTTATTGCTACTCTTTCAGGCAAAGTTTCAAGTGGTGTTGGTTGAATTTTTGCAGGGGTATAAGTATTTAAAGGAATTTTTCTTCCTGACAGTGGAATCATGTAAGTTGGAGAAGCTGAAATGGGGGAAAAATCAAAGAAAAGATACACATCATTAACAATAAAAATACTCTCACCTGAGCAAAACATAAAAAAATAGTAGCCACAGAACTGTGTATCTGTCCAGCAATATAGTCGCCACAGTTCCATAATCAACATCTCAGCTGCTGAGTTTTGACTCACGTCAAAACTTCAAAGTATGAAAGACAAATCTCAAAATCTTTTTACCTCAGAAAGTGACATGATAACTTCATGCTGCTAAGGCAGCTAAGCTGGATTTCAGTTGCAGCTGCCTTGCCAGAAGACTGGCAAAAGCATTAGTGCTACTTCTCACAGCTTATGAAGGTTGCACTGGAACAGGCATTTAGTCCAAAACGCATGGATAGAAGAGATTATTCTCTAGACAACTGCTAAATGTTATAGGAAAGTAGAAGGACAACAAAGCATTTATAGCCTCCATTCTATCAGGTCTTAACTCCCAACCACTCCTTTGCAGAGAGGTGACAACCAGAAAACCACACGAGTATTACAGTTATTTAACAATATTTTTTCAACTTGTGTACTTTAAATTCTGAATTTATTTTGAAGACACATGAACATCCTAACCAGTGTAACAAAGCATTTTGAATAGCCGAGAACTTTAAAATACCTGTAAGCCTCCCAAGTTATTTTTCGGTAACATCAGTTTTCTTAAATTGCTCATTTTCCTTATCTGATACAGGAGGCTTACCCTATCAAATTAGCTGCTGATTAAAATCTAAACTGTCTAGCAATTGGGCTTCTGGCAGACTTTGGCCTGTTTAGGGACTTGGTTGGCAGAACCCCTTGGGAGGCAGTTCTGAAGGGCAAAGGAGTCTAGGAAGGCTGGACACCATTCAAGAAAGAAATCTTAAAGGAAGACAGGAAGACAGGAATGGGAAGCACAGTGAAGCCCCCATAATCCATGAGGAGATGGTTAGCGACCTGCTACACCACTTAGACATACACAAGTCTATGGGGCCAGATGGGATCCACCCCAGGGTCCTGAGCTGGCAGAAATGCTCGCCAAGCCATTATCCATAATTTCTCAGCAGTCCTAGGTAACTGGGGAGGTCCCAGTTCACTGGAGGCTTGCAAACATGACACCCATCTACAAGAAGGGCCAGAAGGAGGATCTGGGGAACTGCAGACCTGTCAGTCTGACCTCGGTGCCAGGGAAGGTGATGGAACAAATCATCCTGAGTGCCATCACACGTCATATGCAGGACAACCAAGCGATCAGGCCCAGTCAGCATGGGCTCAGGAAGGGCAGGTTCTGCTTGTCTAATCTTATCTCCTTTTATGACGAGGTGACCTGCTTGGTGGATGAGAGGAAGGCTGTGGATGTTGTCTACCTGGACTTCAGTAAGGCCCTTGACACCATCAAGGCTGCCCAGGGAGGTGGTGGAGTCACCATCCCTGGATGTATTTAAAGAGCGGGTAGACGAGGTACTTAAG